GATAGTCAATTTCAAGCACCACCTGTGTTAAGCATATGTTCAAATATCAACAAATTTTGGTTCCTAGAAGCCAACCCCTTCAAAGCTGAAAGGAATAAAGCAATTATGTAGTGTACATATTTTTAAATTTTAAAATAATAATAAATAAAATAAAGTCCAGGTATAACCAAGTTTATATAAATCTGCACATGTAAGATAATAGACATTCGTAACTCCTAGCTAAGAAATCTTTTCAAAACTCCACTTTAAGAGTTAGCATCTAGTCGTTGGTATGTAATGGAACTGAGACAGTTATTTTGTTCTCTGAGGTGTTAGTTACCTGAAACTTCACTTTGTACTTTGTAGGTGAATTGCAAACAGCAGTGGATTTTTTCAGCTTTGCTGTTTTTAGAAACTTTAGCAAACTTTAGCAATAACTTTCAAAAGAACACAGCTGAGAAGTTAACCTGTGGTTTCAGTATTTAATCAATTGTCTGTTATGATGGATTTGGAGCACAGCAACACAGATGAAATAATGGTAAAAATGCCTTGGAACATAGGAAGATATTGTAAAATTGTCGCTTGATAGGGCTTTGAATTTCACGTTCAATGCCTTATGTCCATTTCTAGTATCCTGCTCTAAGTATGGTCAAACATGCAAATATTTGCTTTGTGAGTAATTTGCCCTAATGACTTTAATGCATTTTTGAGCAACAGTGGTGACATTGTTCTGCCTTGGCGGAAAGCATATTCCATGTCAGATGTCCACAGAGATCTCAGCTGTCTACAAGCATATTATTAACATGTGATTGCTGCCCAGTGTCTGTTAACCTTGCCTTCAACTTGGCAGAGGGTTATGGACATAGGTCATCACCTTATGCCAGTTTTAATGAAAAACCTGTCTGACAGCCACTATTTCTAAATCACAGGGAGCTAGGACTGGGCTTCTTTCAGTTTCTGAATGAATGTCCTGTTGGGTGAGCCCCACAATTTTGACATCAGTGTTGGGAGTGATGATCAAAACAGGCTAAGCTGTTCATTGAGAATTGTATTTTCACCACCATGACATAACCCAGGTAGATCCTTTAAATCAGTACTGTCATAAAATAGAATGTTTTAGTCAGCATGAAAGCTCCAAGTTTGTGTTTGCCTTTTTATCAGCCATTGTTGCTTGGGGATCAAGTGGAATTTTGAACAAATTGTGCTATGGATTTTATATTCAAAACTCAGGAACTTTCCCTTCTGGAGAAAAAATGAGATGGTTTCTGTAATGAGGAAAAAAGAGTGGAGGAATGAGTGAAAAAACTGATGGTAGTCATTTAGAAAAACAAGTGTCTTTTAACAGTTGTCAACACGTTACTGTTTTGGTTCATAATTCTCAGTGTTTTTTCCATTGTTAACAAAATAATTTCTTCTGTAGGACAATTTATCCCAAATGGATTTTTTTTAAATTAAAGAGGTGTTTATTGCAATCTGGAAATGATATTGAAGATTTGTCATGCTTTAAGATCTTTTCAATTATTAAGTCTATTGCTGTTAAGGGAAAAAGAGACCTTTAAGTCAGTGTTGTACTGTTAAAAACTGATACTGCCTTCTTGAAGAAAATGATGCTACTGTATGATCTATGAGTCATTGAAGAATTTAATCACAAGAAACTGCTTTGAAGAGATAAAACTAACAAAAACAAAAAAAAATCAAAATCCATGAGCTATAGTTTCCACTGATTTTTGTTGGTGAAATGTGTTTCCTGTAGGCAACAAATAGACGGGTTTTGCTTTTTAATCCAGTTTACTACTCTATGACATTTGATTGAGCTAAAGCCATTTACATTCAGTGTTAATAAGAATAGCTGGTAATTTGGTCTTGTCAATGGGTTGTTCATTGATTTAGTCTTCTGTTGTCATTTTACTGGGATGTTCTTCACATTTGCCTTTGGTTTTGTCTCAGTGACACATTAGTCTTTCAGTAACACGTTATTTAACTTCATGGTGTTGTTAATTTCTTTTTTCTTCCTGTTGTTGATTTTGTTTTGTGGCTTTTCATTTAACGGGATGTTTAGTAGTTGTGAAATGGAAACTATCATAACTAATAACATGTTATTTAACTTTATGGCATTGTAAATTTCTGTTTTTCTTCCTATTGTTGATTTTGTACTGTGACTTTTCAGTTAAGGGGATGTATAGTAACTGTGAATTGGAGACTATCATATCCAGATATGAGGATACAATGTAGTATGCATCTCTACTTCCAGACAAAGATGGACTTACAATGAAACTGTTTACTGTATCTTGACAATAGGATTCTGCACTCTCAGCCATTGTCCATGCCGCAATGATGGACATATGACTGTGGATGAAGAACTATACTTTCGTAATGATATAGAGGAACTATGTGTGGGGGAGAAATGGATAGGGGATAAGGAAAATTCCAGGAGCCCATGAAACTGTATTATAAACTGATAATAATAATAATAAATAAAAAAGATAAAAAACAAATAAATCATACATCTTTAAAAAATTGATGTTGCAAACTATGCTTCTATATGTAGCTGCCTTTTAACAACTAGGGTGTATTTTTCCGTCTGTGAGGTCAGGGAGACACCTAGACATATCATGTGGAAAGAACGCATGATATGGTAATGATGGTAATGATAAGATAATAGACTCATCCTATTAAAAAAAAGACATATGAACATGCTATGGGACTAATCCAGGTATAATGAATACTCTGAGAGGCAAGTGAATTTTTACATGAGCTTTTGAAGGAGGCAGAAACATGGAATAGTGGATGAGCGGTTGTATGCTGGGCTGCAAGAGAAACAAAATCAGAGGCTTGCTGATAGAATGGGTAATGCATGAATGAGACAAGAGGTTGCCAAGGAACAATACATGTTGTTAAAGCACAGCAAAATCACTCATTTCACACACAGAGACAATTCCCTGATCTGGAGTGATTAAATATCCCTTTCACACGTGTAAGTACAGTGTTTTAAATCTCAGCTGCAGAACAAAATGGGGGAAGCCAGAGATCAATTTTAGAACTTGCTTTTAGTGCTCCATTATTTGGCATTAAAAATTCAATTAAATGCTAGAATTCATGTTTTAAAAGTAGCAAGCCAATTCTAATGTATGTAGGATGTGGGGGAAGGGGACCTCTTCCAGTCTCTGGGGAAAGCTTGAGTAAAACCTGAACGAGATAGTTATTATATATTCAAGAAGAAATATTGCTTGTGAGAGCTGTGGACCACAGTACTTCTGCAGGCTGTAAGAACCCCTAAGACAAGAAATTTAAAACAACATAACTATAGGAAAGTTTATAAACACATTATTACATGTCCCAGCTAACTTAATTCTTACAGTAAAATGTTCAAATATGTGGCGCATCTGATGAAAATTTCTATAATATGATGAATCATGAGATTAATCTGTGTACAGTTACTCAGGCAAAAATGAAAGGCTTTGCTTGGTATCCCTGTCCACCATCTGGTGTGCGTGACTTAAAACTTTCCTATTCACAGTGTTGAGATTATGTTCCTGCAATAACAAGAATGGAAAAATTGTGTCCTTTCCAAGGTGACCTTAACATTGCTGATTCAGTAGTCATTTAAAATAAAATTGTGCCTTCACCTGTAGCTGAGAATCAGACATATTCACAGTGAAACTTGTGATACTTCTTAGAAATTGGAGTATAAGGAGTGTTTATGGTGTTAGACTCATAAACTTGCAATACAGAGTTATTCATAACCAGAGTGTCTGAAAAAGACAGCTTGTAAACATGTGGAATAGAACAATCCAAAAAAAATTCCCAGGTTTGAGTTTGTATGAGTTTAGGAACTGAAATATGAGAACAGTATTTCAGGAATGATATTTTTATCTTTTAAATTATTTTTAGCTTTTTAAAAATAATGACCAATCATAAAGGTAAATTACAGTCTAGCAAAGATAATATTTTCTGTTTCCCCAAATGATTATGTTATCAAAACATTCAATATTTAATGTGTAACATGTAGGTAGAAGTTACAAAAGTGAGCTGTGCATTGATTAAAACTATCTGAAAGAGATATTTAGATATACAACTGACAAAGGACAATTAAAAACTCTTCCTAACTGTACTGTTAGTTTCTTCATCTCCAGAAGAAACTTTTATAAAATCTGTATGTGAGTTCAAAAATTTCATGTTGTTGCAAGTCAACTTGGTTGGTTTTTTGTAAATTTGGAGGAAATATTTTCATACTTCTCAAAATTAAAAAGAGCTGTAAATTAATCAAGGTGTTGCTATTTAGGTGACAAACTCCTGAATAACGGCAACTTGTACACAACTTGTAGCAATCAAAAGTTCCATATTTGTGACAATAAGTCGTTTTAATGGATATATTTCCTATGAATGTTAAATTCTGCATGGCTACATGGATAGCTAATTGTTTTCTGTAAATACTATTGAGTAAGTATATCTAAGCTGTGTGTATGCCACTTGGTTTCACCATTTACAGAGTTTTTATTTCTTATATCATTAAAAGTTCTTAGCAGATTTAGCACTCTGCATGAATAGAAACAGAGAGGGGGAAAAAATCAAAGGATTCAAAGGCATTCACTGAGTGATGCAAAAATTCTCATACGTGAAGACATTTTCCACAGCAAAGAACTTTAATCCATGTGTGAAGCAGGCTGCTTGCAGGGTGAAAAACAAAACAACGCCGCCCCCTCCCCTGCTCTCTGCCTGCCTCACCCCCCTCACTCCATTGACATGCATAGCTGGCCTGGTAGGTGTAAAAATAGACTGGCAGCGCCTGAATTGGAAATGGCCACTGAGTGCAGCTTGCAGTTGCCGGGTTTTGAGTTCTCTCTGACACCAGCCAGCCAGCCAGCAGATGGGGAGGACTGGTGAGGGGCGTGGAGGGGGACTCAGCAGTGGCACCAAGGGTCTTCTGGATGAACTGTCCACATTAGTGTGCCCCTGGGAGCTCCGGACGGAGCGCAGAGGGCAAGGACGGGCCCACGGACTGCAGGAACCAAAGAACTGAGATGGGAAATGCAGCTGTCTGCTCGTCTTGCCATGCAGATAAGAGTGTGAGGGCACAAGGAAACAGGCAGGAATTGGATAAAGCTCCAGACTACTATGGCTATAGCAGTGAAGACGTCAAAGAGCCTGGAGTGCGGGTAAGTTTTAAGCCACAGATGAGGAGGAGGAAGGGAGGATGGTGCCGAGGACCCAAGAGTGGAGCTCATTGGTCAGGACTCTTAACTTCCTGGGAGGAAGTTGACAGTGAATCTATTGTGATCAAAGCAGCTGAGGGTTTGACTCAGTCTGAGGGTTTGACTGCAGTTTCCCCTCTCTGCTGTGCAATTCCACATGTTGGTGTCTTCTTGGCTGCCTTTAACTTTGCAGATGAGCAGAGATGCTGTCGCTTTAATTTCAAAAGTTTTACAAAGATGAACATACATTTTATGATATTGCTGGAGAGTGACTTTCAGCAAAATTGCAGAACTTCATATACATCAAGGCTGCTGGATTCTTTCCTCTATTTATATATTCATGTATGGCTCATTTTTCACTAGGTCATGAAGTATTTTTAAAGGCATATTTTAATTTATAATCCCAGTTCCAATCTATAAGACATTTTACCTCCATTATTTGCTTACAGTGAAACATCTTTTGAATACTGCTCTGATTACAGGAATATAAGTCTATAAAATGGCTTAAAAGCCGAGCAATTATTTAAATTGACATCCAGATTTTAATAATTCATCAGCATGATCTAGTCCTAAAAATGGGTACAAAGGCTTATTGTCAGTTTTAAAATTCTGGCCAGAAATCCCTTTCTGAAATATTTTAATTTTCATAGTTGCTGGTGAATAAAGTGTATCTTTCATCTGTAAGATCCAGGAATTTGACCTTACTGCAAGTCATTTGTTCCAAACTGAAACCATGGGGCTGAGATATGTCGGATTTTCAGCAGGAAAAACTGAGGACTTTGTACTTGCCTGATATTTCCAGGAATGAAAGTCCAGGAGGTGGAGAAAGTGCCTTTGCTCCCTTTGGCTTTTACCTGACCTGGTTGAATCTCACAATTTCTTAGCACTGAACTTCAGACCAGAGAAAAACTGAAGCTAAAACTCAGTTTGTCCATAAGAGATCCAATGTCTGCAGTAACCAAAAGCAGTGTAGTAGAAAGAGAAGGCACTTCTAGAAAGAAAGGAAAACAGCCAAGATGAGAAGAGGAAGCCAAGCCATAGCTTGAAGAGTTGGAGCTCATTTGCTTTAACAACCACATGGGTGAGAGTTGTCACCAGCAGCAGCTGCGTTTGCTTCTCTCAATGGCAGTTCAGATTTACCTACCTGTACCCGGAGAGCCAGCCACTCTGGCTTTCTCAGAGTGGTCTCTGCTAATGCAGTTTGCTGAACTGAGATCACAGAAGAGGAACCGATAGCCCCTCTTCAGGCTTGCTTTGTTGCAGTACATAACTGCCTTTTCTGAGAATTTACTCTCGTTAGAAAGGTAGCTTCTAGGCTCACAAAGATGTTTTTTTTGCTTAGACCATTCTTTAAAGGGTTTGATAATTCAGCAGTCTTTGTTGTGCAAGTCTATTCCATTTTTTCATCACTTAAAAAGTCATGAACAAAAATGTAACACGTAAAAGAAGTGAGAGTTGATTTAGGAATGAAATATGAAAGTACTTTTTTAAAGTGTGGAGAAGAGAGTGGTGATATATTGGTAAGTTTATCCATTTTTTTGTAAAAAGTGTTGCCATGATTTTGAAACCTAAGTTTCAGTGTTCACACAACTTTTTAAAAACTTTTGAAAAAGAAATACTAAATAGTAACATTACCTGATAAAACCATTATCCTTCTGTGCATTAAAAGATAGTTTCCAAAAATATACCATCTGAATTCTTCTAGTTAACATCCATATGGCATTCTAGGCATTGAACTAGTTTTTCTGCTGTTGATTTTGGATATTTGTGACAGAGAAGAAATGGTCGGGATGGAAATCAGCATACTATCTTCCTTCAGAGGACACTTTTGGTCCAGAATTTTTCCAGTTTGGGCTAAGGGAGTAAAACCAAATCAAACCAAACCACACCAAACCAAACCAAACCAAAGCTAATGGATAAGCTAAGCAAATACATGCTTCTAAATAGCTTACTTTCTCCAATTTAAAAGAGCTATTGCCTTGGTTTAGTTTTCAATAGATGTTCTAAGACTGAAGTCAGTCTTTCCTTAAATCCTCTTCCGGTACATTGTATTGTACTTTCCAACATTCGTATGTTCAGAGTTAATGATAAAGAATTTAGAACTTCAGAACTTTTAATTATATTTATTTTTTTGAGGAAAAACCGATTTTTGTGTTTTTTTTTTTTTTGTTCTAGAAATAAACTTAGAAATGGTAGGGTTTGTGTTTTGGGTACAGTTTCATGTAACTTAATTTTCTAGAACTAAACCAGAACTAAAACTAATATAAAACATAAACCATAAATGTAAAAATACTAAATCTATTGGGATTTATGAAAATTAATATTTCATTTTTTATGAGTTGCATTTAAAAACTTCAGTATTCTGACTTTATTTGTATAGATGAATGGAACAATGAGAAAGAAATCAACCAAAAATAGTATTGGAAAAGATAGTTTTTTTCTTCCACCAATCATGTCTGTTCACATTTGAAATTTCACATAGAGCTTTTTAGAAAAGTAAAGCAAATCAGACCACAATAATTTCCATGTATGTTAGATAACTAAACATAGAAGCTATGCAAAAATAATTACAGAGAAGAAAATCAGATATTATTTTGACAATGTGATATATTTTATGTTTCAAGACAAATTGAAATTATAGTGAAAAAATTAAACAGTTATGCCATTGCTATCTAGTTATGAAAGTCTATAGCTGGAAAAATAGTGTTTGATTTTTGTAATGCATGTCCAAATTAACCTTTACATTGTGCAGTAGAGTTCACTGAGCTGTGAGGAGCTAGAGAGTGACTCTTACAGATTTTTAGGACCACATGGTCTCACAGCTATTGATGTCTGCTGTTAGAACAAAAATAGTCACAGACAGCAGATAAACAATCCCATGGACAGCCATTATCCAAATTATGCTATTATTACATTTTTGATTGTTATCTTTTCCAGTTACTAACTTGTTAAAGATGAAAACATCAGTTGCTGTGTTTTCTAATATCTATAAACATACATTAAAATGCTACTTTTGTTACCTTCATAAAGATAGAAACTATAGTAATACTTAGTCTGGAAAGATTGATATCAATCAATAGTCTTCAGTATGCTGTAATTTATCCTGATGTATTTATATCTAATACAATTATATCTAGTATGGTTCAAATTTTTGTTGTATTTGTGGTTTTTGCTTAGTTCATTAGTATGGAGCTGTTTATTTGCATGGAGAACACAAAAAGAGTAGGTGCACCTCTTGGGCAGACACTTTAGCCCTTGGCTCCAGTTGCCTGGGCCCCTCTGGACTCTGGTTCACCCCTTGTGAGTCTCCCTCACCTCGTCCCAGAGATCTTGTTTGGAATCCTGTGAGAAGATGTCCTCCTTTATATGGAAGCAAAGACTTACCGGCATATGTCAGTGTTTTCCTTTGATCTGTGGGTTGTTTCTTGCATTAATCTGTAAAATACTTAAAGATCTGCTTTTATCACAACTAACTTGGCCACACACACACACAAAAAAAAAAAAAGAAGAAGAAAAAAGAGAGAGCTTGAGGAACAGGAGACAGCCAAGAATCAAGAAAAAAATTTAACTGTTTCAAATTTTATATTCAGAATAAATCCTGATGATGCTATGAATTTTCATACCAACCACAAAAGGAACAACTGTATCATCTCTCAACTACCTTTTTTTCTTCATGTTTGTAGATGATTGGTGTATATATTTCAAGCTTACTTCTGAAAAAAAAAATAGTTCTAGAGCTGTCTTCTAGGTTTTGCCTTGGAGCCTAGGATAGCTCTGTCTGGGACGTGAGTCAGCCGGACCTTAAAGGGTCCAGATAGGCTTCTGAGGAAGAGATTCCTGAGGCTGTGTTGATAAGATGCAATTTAGAACTGCAACATAATTCTTTATTTTATTTTTGTTTCTTGTAATTTTTGTGGCATCATTTGTGAATATGCGGATTGTTCTATGTGCATTGTGTATTTCTTTTCTATCTGGATCATATACTTTATTAAGGTTTTAAAAATCTTGCTAGATCAATTAGCTTTGTCTCATGAGCAAATTAGGAAATGTGGTGCTTCATCACAAATGTTACTTTGTCCATTTTGGCTGCAATTTAAATAAGATGTCTTGTCTTTTTACTGGTTTACTCTTAATTTTATTTTCTTTTGTGGTTTAGCAAAGTTTCCCCATTGTGGGAGTGAATCATAAGCTATTTTTGTTTTGATTTTTTTTCATTACTCTATATAGTTCTTATTACTTTAGGCTATGAGCTGTGAATCCTCATGTTATTATGAAAGCAATTCAGTATACTTTCCTGCTAGTGTGACTTAAAACAGACTAAGTCAGCAAGCAGTTATTAACAAATGCAAATTTAGATTTGACCACATAATGACAAGACAGAGTTCTGGTGACAGGAGACCAACTGATAGTATGAATGTGGGGATGCAATGAAATTGCTAAGGACACCTAGACAGCAAAAACTACAATCCCTACTACTGACGAAGCCAACAACGTCATGACCTATGTAAAGAGCAAAGAATTGGAACCATTTCTCTTTCATCTCTAATTTTAAGTGGTTGTCCCCGATGATGCTCATTGATAATATGGCTGAAGAATGGTTTTGCTCATCTTCTTAGGGAATGGCTCTTTCTTGTTACAATTTGCAGTTTTGTGATATCAAATCTAATTATTTTTGCTGTGAATTTTACCTTTTCACATATCCTAGTCATTTGTATCTTTTCAGTACGTTATTGTGATTCATTAACTGATGAGACCTTTTGGATTGCTTGTAAACATCTGAGATTGTAAATGTCCCTTTCAACACTGTTTTTGCCACATTTCATAGGTAATGATGTTCTAGTTTTTATTGTAACATCTTCAGCACCACGTGGGTTGTGCAGTAGCATCAATTTCTGCAAGCAGGTGTTCTTTTTTCATCAACCTAGCAGTGCATTGGTATTTTTGTAGCATGTTCTTTAACTTCA